CCTATTCATATTGATCACCTTTTAACATACCAAACTGAAAATAAAAATTTCTTAGAGACACCTCTGTCCTAGAGGTGTAACTTCACAAATAGTCTGAAATATGCGTGTTCTCTATTTTTCTTATCCCTTAGAACGCAAGGAAGGACACCAAATCGAAAAGTGACAGATTATTACCCAGTTAGAAGAAGTTCCAGGAAGAGCAAATCTGAATTGGAGGTAGTGCTTCTTGTTAAAATGACATTACTTATAATGTTGCCAGTTAATTGAATGTTTGAGGAAGTGCATAACTATCTGTAATTGGTTTCCATTGGCCAAATAACAGTACTTCCAGTGCACAACACTACTTGTAAGGACATTCTTAAAATTAGGAAATGCTGATCCAGTCCTTCAAGGATAGAATCTATCTGCTTATGTATTTTGAGGGCCAAAAATCTGTCTCTCTAGCATTCAGTTTTGCTGGAAATGTCGGATAGTTTTTCCTTTTAGCTATAGAATAAGCTACCAAAACTATCAACAATACTGTGGTTTTATTTGTTCTTGTTTCTTCTGCAGACTGAGGAGAGGAGAAAAATAGATGAGCTTATTACAAGCGGGAAAGAAGAAGGAATGAAGGTAATGGCAATGCCAACCTGAGTAGCCGTGTACTGTTTATACAGTATCTTGCTGTTAATCTGTTTAAGCAGAAAGTAGCAGAACTCAGTCTCAGAACTGCTGCAGTTCCTCGATAGTAAGATGAAAGTGCAGCAAAGCTGGAGCACGCTGTCTTTCCTTTTGGATGGGCGATATTTGTCTCTGAAGAATATGTATGTGCAGCCTCAGCCAAATATATTAAAGGGCCTTTGTAGTCTTTACTGAAAATGCAGTTGTTCCCTTCAGTATCTCATTTCTTAGATTAGCTTCCAGAAATGGGGGTAGATATAGCATCTTAATTGTCATATGTTTTAAAGGTAACACCCATATATACTGTCTGTATGGTAACAAATTCTCTTAGCCTATTTAGAGCTAGTTGCTGTGGGTCTTCATTATGGCACTTGGGATAATGGGTTGTACCGGTTTTCCTTCCACTGCTAGCAAATACTAGTTACTGGGACCAAGTGCTTACCATTTGGGTTACTCTGATCACCCTTTTTAGAACTTAAAGCAGAAATGGCTCCTGGAAGTGCAGAAGAGCTGTGATCATTGAAAAGCAGCAGCCTGCAATTCATACTGTCACATCTATGACAGTGATATGAGAACTTCCTTGGAGTTGTCCAAGGAAGTTGTCTCCCAAAGGGGGAGGCAGGAATAATAAACTATACCGGTGGGTGATAAATGTAGTTTCTGTGATTGATCTTTCTGTTCCTCTAACTTCTTAACCTGTGCATGCTAATGGTGATGATGGTGAACCTCAAATGGAAAAACTTACTGCCTCAGCTAATAGGTAGTTTAAAAGCAAAAATAGATAACTATTCTCTGTGTACCGTTTATTTAAAGTAATTCTTAGTTCTTTGATTAGAAGGCTTTGTATCAAAATACCTGGTAACTCAGGGTGCATCCCAGACTCATCCTGTATTTCTTCCATGATGCTGTGCATTGTGGTTCTACAGCTCTGTCTGTGATACACACCAATACCCTGCTGTAGCATCTCTTAACGACAAGTCACTCATTTCCTAGTAAACAGCATTATTTCCAGTCATGTGAACACTTTCTTATTTCTCAGCTGATTTTCTTTTCAACTCAACAGATTGATTACATCGATGGTAAGGGGAGAGGAGTGATCGCTACTAAACATTTTAATCGAGGAGAATTTGTAGTGGAATATCATGGGGATCTCATAGAGATCACTGATGCTAAAAAGCGAGAAGCTGTGTATGCTCAAGATCCATCCACAGGCTGCTATATGTACTATTTTCAGTACCTCAGCAAAACGTACTGGTAAGCTTCTCTTCCCTTGAGTGTGATAGTTGAGTGATAGAGGCTTTGAATGTTGCTAAGTCTTTTCTTGTTCTCGTGGAAAAAAAAAAAAAAAATTAATGGGAACCATGAATTAGGAAATCTTTTTGAAGCTCTGTCATAGTCCAAGAGCCTCCTATACCTCTGGACTAAAAGGAAAGGTAAGTGACTCAAAGCCCCATTCTCTGAAGTACAGCACAAGCTATATGGACAGTTGTATCTGCTTGGATGAGACCTCTAGTTCTGCCTGAATTTATTATCTTGTAAAATTAACTATTTTTCCTGAGTTGCAAGGATTTTCTTGGAAAATCAGCATGGACAAACTCACTGGAAGAGAAACGTTTCCTTCAGCTGTCTTTGACTGGGTCTCCTTTTTTCTGTAGTACCTGACACTCACCCTGTGTGCATACTTTATCCCTCTATTTGCTGTGTCATTTGCCCCAAACTCCAGTTCTCTCAAAGCAACTACTTGGACTACCTTCTTTCCTCCTTGGCTGATGTTACTGGATACTGGAGTGCGGGTCACTTAACCTGTATATTAATTACCATGAAGCACCCTATCTTCTAAATTTCTGACTGTCAGTCTAGATGCCATGGTGACAGCTGCCATAACGATTCTTTGTGCAATGAAGGGCACTAGAGCTTTAGGTCTCTGCAAGTTGGGCATGTAGTATTTAGGCATTCTCAGCTTTCTGTGTGAGTAGAGACTCTTGCTGGCTTTCTCAGTGGATATTACTTAGCTTGGACACAGCTTTCTTGAGGGGAGGGTATTTAAGGTATCAAGCCTTTCTGTTCGGTGTTCTACATCTGGATTCTGCTATTCCTCCTGAACAGTTGAGAACTGCTTGGAAACAGGCAGCTCAAAAACATAGTCCAAAATTTTCCATTTTCTGGGTTTTGTGCTAACTTAATCTCCCAGAATTGCTTTAGTTTACCTACATTGCCATATTATGTGCTGTCTGTTCAATCATATGAGTATTCTGTAATGTTCTGGGTTTCCTTCATTTTTCAAGCCTTCTGTGGATTCCTGATTCTTCATCTGATTTGCACTTTGTTTTTTATCCACAAACGCGACTGCGTGATATGCAGCAATCCTGCATTCTGTTCTTGTTCTTTCAGTGTTGATGCTACAAAAGAAACGAATCGTCTGGGAAGACTCATTAATCACAGCAAATGTGGCAATTGTCAAACAAAGCTTCATGACATTGACGGTGTGCCTCATCTCATACTGATAGCTTCCAGAGACATTAAAGCAGGTGAAGAACTGTTGTACGACTATGGAGACAGGAGCAAAGCTTCCATTGAAGCTCATCCATGGCTGAAACACTAATTGATCTTCTTTGTCTGGGCTTGATGGTTTTTTTTGGGGTTTTTTTGGACTGAGTGCTCTACAAGGAGTCAGTGGATGTGTGATTTTTTTTTTCCTATCCTCACTTCCCTCAGCTTTCTTAGTGGACTGCTTATGGTGTTCTGAGCTCCTTAAAAACTACCTTTTTGCTTTGCAGTATTTAAATACCTATTACAGTTTTCCAGGCAGGCTTGAATAATTGATCTTAAATTGCCAAAACTTTCATACCATAAAAGGAAACCCTCCGTAAAATTTGAATACTTCTGCATAGTGAGCAGTACCACTTGAGCGTGCAGTCAAAGACTTGCACAGAAACTTAATCCCTTGGGTCGTGCTTCTGCTTTTGTAATGAAATCTCACGCTCCACTTTGTGGGGTGATGAACTTGGCATTAGCTTTACGACAGCAGATGTACTTCTGTACTCTGACTCGTACATCCAGTGGCTTGACTGCTTGTCAGCCTGCTTTTTACAGCCCGGTGCTGACAGGCTTCTCTGAGGTGGATGTGACTGTTTCTATCATTTTCAAATAATTTGTGGTAGGGATCCAGTTCTTCCAGTGTCGTATCTCATGTTGGCAATGAACTTTAAATGCACTGGCGCTGAGGGAAATGGATGGTCAAACTGGCTACTTTCTTCAGAGAAATGACTCCAAGCCAAACGAGGGTGGATTTTGATAGACTGGGTTGATCCTGATGGGAAATGTGAAGATAGAACTTCACAATGAGAATCAATGTTTGACATTTTGACATTACTTATTTTCTAAAATTTAAGATGGTACCTTTTTATAGTTGATGGCTGATTCTTGGAGGTGTCTCCCAGAGGATTTTAAAGAAGTAAAAGAAAAAGCTGTCTCCAAAAAATTTTTTTATTACCTTCCTATGCTAATTAGCCACATCAGAAGCTATTTATTTACTGTGAATGCTTGAAGTAGAGCATAGCGTTTCCAAAAATAGGAGTCCTCTTCATATGCAGCTTCAAACTGTAATGATGGAGTTCACGCAATGAAGAAAGTAGATTCCTTATTGCCTGGTCCTGTAGGTCTGTCCAGCATCGTCTGGTCCCACTGTCTTAAATGGGAGTTGAGCGCTTAGCATCTCGCGGATGTTTGTAACGTTACTGTTGGAGAACCAAATTTGTGATATAGGCGGGCAATACAATGCAGGTCCTTTATGTTAAAGATGAATTCTTACCAGTTGGAATTTTTGCCAAGGCAGGCTTGGCATGTGTGTAGATGAAAATGGCTGTGAGCCATCAGCCACGCTTGCTGCTGGAAGGTGTCAGCAAGGGATCTGTGGCTCTGTTAACGTCTTCTGTTCCTCATGTCTTGAAGGCTGCTGCTGTTCCAGCTAATGCCCTCTAGGACAATCTTATATGCTTGCCTATGTGATAGGTCAAATAGCAACAACATCCTGGTTGTATGCTCCAGCAGCAAGAGAGGTGGCTTAGTGATGTATTTTTTAAATTAAAAACTTGAAGACAATGTCTCTGTAAAATAAAGAATATATTTATTATTGATGAAGTGGCTGCTATAGTACCTGTTTCCATTGCAGATCATTAGCATTTTGAAAGCAAGCTGTGAAAATCATTAGCCATTAAATGCGTTATATTATTTACCACTTAACACAAGGCAAGCTCATCGGAGACAGCCTGTGTATATTTGCCATTTCTGAAGAGTTAACTGGAGACCTGTTATCTTACATGTACCGAGTTACAGGTAAGGTTTGTTGGCTGACTTATTTGAGTTGGCACAGATTTTTTTTTCTCTGGTCTCAGTAACAGAGACTACAGCAGTGTACAGTGTCCTGTTTTACTAGAGCACTTCCCTGAAGTAAAAAATGGAATAAATGTGTCTTTTTTTTTTAATTATTTTTTATTTAAACATTTGCTTGTTCTCTATCAGGTCAAATAGCTTAAAACCTCTGTTCTTCAGCATCACTTTTGTAAACAAGAGAGGGGGAAGATCTTTCCCAATTTTACATTAAAAAAATTGTCTTCTCTGAAACGCTTAACTGGTAATGGAGTAGCACTGCATCGGAAGATGGTAATAAAGCTGATGTTGCACTGAGTATGTATCCTTTACTTTTCTAGGAACTGATATATATATTTTATATATATGTATATCAAAATACTTTTCACAGAAACATGCCATTTGAATTTTTATTCCTGTGCCTTGTAGGAAGGTTTCATCTTCTAACAAGGTGTAAAGCACTTAGCAGGGAAAGATGCCCCTGGGTTGGCAGCTAAACTGCTTTTGTCAGGCTCAGGTGGCTTTGCCAGGGGCAGCGGGGTTTCTCTATCAGGCCTGTAGCCTCTTCTGGTGTAGTCATAGCCAAGGAGTTTGCTCCCTTTTTGAGAGAGCAGCTGTGCAGCTCACTTGGCACAGAGTGGATGCAACACTGACGACTTCAGAAAAAGTCTAGCCCAAAAAGGTTGAGGTGTTCTCCTGTCTGCTTTAACTGGTGAACTCCCACTTTTTTTTTTTTTAATCTTTTAATAAAGAACATCTTAAAAGGTAAACTGCGAAGAATAATTGCAGTTTTCATTATTGTCTCCTTCAACTAACTGCAAAGAGTGGCTTAGGGCTATGGCAGTCTTCTGTGCCTCCATGGCAGGTTGTTACTTTTGCACGGCTCTGTTTAATCTGTGCAGTTCATTACCTGAAGTCATTTCATTAAGACTTAGTAGAGTGATTAGTGTGTTTTGGGGCATAATTTTCCCCCCCCCGGTTTTTAAGGGAGATGAGAAAATACATCCCTGGATAAACCATGGCAGAGGATGGAGTTCAGAGCACATGTAAACATCTCCTCAGCTCAGAGGTGTATCTGGGCTGTTTCTGATGCATGATTGATTGTTTGCTTGTTTCGTTCTTTTTCGAAACATAAAGCCTCTGCTAAAGAAATGTAGTAACTTCCTTCCTTGCTACCATGCTCTAGAAAATATATCACAGGGATATGGCAAAAGCTTATGAATATTTTGAAGATGGCAGAATTACTTTAGCCATTCTGTGCCCTGGCTGAAGCAGCTTGCTTAGGTCAGGCGTCTTCGATGTTGCCTTGCTAACGTACGACTGCTAATAAATTCTCTCTGAAAGGAGACTGCAGTTCTACCTTCTGCAAAGCCGTGCTCACATTGTGCATCTGAGCAGATGTGTGAAGTATCCTATATTTTTCATGCTGCTAACGTATGAGAGGGCATCAAAAGATTTCAGAGCCTGCTTTCACTTCTGAAGAAAGTAAGATCATAGTTTGATACCTGTCACTGCTCCTTTTATGTCTGTTCAAAGTTTTCTGCTCTGGAAATTCTACTTTTCTAGATGTGGATCCTAATTGGTATATTTCAAGCTGCTTTTCTGCTCCTCTGTTTGCCCTATATGCTTCCACTAGTGATAAATCTCATTACTGGAGCTAATACACAGCTTGTGACAGATGACTGAAAGAACAGAGCTTATGAAAAATACAACTGTCTACCACAGGAGATTTTTAGCTATCAGAAATGAAACATTTGGTGCATCTATTCCAGTTTGAGCACATCTGCACCTCTGAAAAGACATCAGCCCTTCATGTGGGCAGAGCACAATACAGCAGCTTTTCTTCCCTTGCTGTGCTCTTTGCCTCCATCCTTCATCTCGACCCCAAATGGTCGTCCCTGTGTGTGCAGGGGCTCTGCTGTCACAACCCCACTGCATCTTCCTTTGGTGGGATGGGGTGTGACAGGCTGCTGCCTGCTGCTGCCCGTGTATCGCCCATCTAATGCAAAGAAAGACACAGCACAAAAAGCAGAGCTGGGGTTTTCTTCAAGCAGTTCTGTGTAAGATAATTACTTTCTGTGTAAGAGTAGTGGGGACTGTGATCTGGATGGGTTCTTCCTTCGTTCCCAGTGCTTCACTATGAATGCACTCATGAATGGCATGTAGATCTCTAAAAACATCTTCATTTTGCTAAATCATTTGGGCTGAGCACTTTGATAAGTGGACAGAATAAATAAGTGGTAGTACAGATCATCACAGGATCTTTTAATAAGAATAAAAATCACCTTTGTATAAACATTTTTTTTCTACGTGTGGGTAATGTCTGGCTGGAATCTAAGAAATACAAAAAATGTCTGTCTTAAACAGTTTCTAAAAAAGCAAAGTAAAATCTATTCCAAAAGAATATTATACAACATAATTTTTAGAAGATTGCTTATTCTCTACAGTAGGAGTGATGCTTTTTCTTCCAATCATTGACACCCCTAATGCCTTAGAGGCTCTTGTCAGTGCCATTTCTGAACAGGAGTTCTTGAGGATACTCATTTTCCATGTTTAAAAGAGAACCTAAAAAAAAAAAAAAGACAACAAAAGGGAAACAATAATGTACAACTGGAATAAAAGGAACATGCAGTGAGATGGCTCTGTCAATGTGTTCTGCTATTTCGGGGAACTTTAGGGACGCAGCCGGAGCTTGTGGGTACTGCATACAGCTGCGGCATAGAATGTAAACAAACCTCCAGGGACAGCCGGTATGTTCCCACAGCGGAGTCTTAATGTGCTAGCAGGGGAGGCAAGTATTGCATAGTTTTGTACTGAAATGCTTATTTTTTCCTAGAAAAAAGTGACGCCCCGCTTGCCTGGGTGGAGGTTGCCTTCCTGTGGAGCGCTTTTTTTTCCACAGGAAAGGATTTCTCTATCGGGTTTTAATTTTACAGGGAGAGGAGGAGAAAACAATATCCAGCCAACTAGGCCAAAGTTCAGAATTCATCCCTGGATTCACTAAGTCTGAAGTGTGCCATATTCTCCCATATTCTGCCCAAAAAGCTGCAGACAAACTTACAGCCGTTTGATGATTGTCTTCTCTTCGCTGTCCTTGCTGGTGCCAGGGCTACTGCCACTGGCCTCTTTTTCCAGTTCTTCAGTTTGGTCCCTTCTCTGTGAGATGATCCCACTAGGAAAAGAAGAGGGTTTGTTTATTTCTTGTGGGTTTGTGCGTAGCGTGGCATTTTTGTCTATGTTATACCCTTCCCATGGCAGCCTAGGATGTGGGGGAATGGGTCTTCACAGGACAGGTATGGCAGCCTGGCCTATTTCTTGTGATGAATTGCTCTTACTTTCCTTAAATATTGCAAGGTTATTTTGCTTAGGCTATGCTTTAATGAGAACACTGAAAAAGTAATGAGCTGTCTTCTCCACAGATGAAGAATGGCGGAGCATAACAGGAGTGAAAGGGAAGTGTAATCGCACATTGGATTTGTACAAGAGTCCAAAGAAGGGTGCAGACACAAACTGTGAATTTCTGCATGGGTGGATGTGTGGTACCTTCAGTACAGCCACGAAGGCTCACACCACGCAGCTGGGAACAGATGAGAGATTCCCAGCTTCCCTGCAAGGCAGGTGCCTGTTCCTCTTTCCATCCTACAGAGAAGAAAAGAAAGGCTTTGCCCGACCTGTAGATTTTGTCATCCTATTTCAATGCTGCTATGCTCTACAAGGTTGTAACGGCCTACTTTAGACAAAAGCTTCAGTTTTACCAAAGGATGTTTTCCCTGCTTGGAATTGAGTTAAATGTTACCAGCGTGCATACCGCACTTTGTTTTCACAGCATGCCAGTTTACTGTCCTGAGCTGACCTCATTTATCTGGAGAGCTGAGTGGATCAAAGCTTGTGACTGCAGTAGCTGGAGGCTGAAAGTAACTAAGCAACACTCCTAACGAGCAACACTCGTTTGAACCTTGGAAATAAAAATACAGGAGAGTATCTAGAAACCGGTGTGACATCAGACGTGGGACAATTCTGAGGCAGATTCTCCTCTTAGAGAAACAGGACTATGAGCTGTTTGGTGACACTGCAGATCTCTAATATTTGCATGATAACTTCTACTCAGAAATCATGATTAAGAATGTAACCCCCAAACATCATCAGTAATTTTAAACTATTCTCTGGAAGGATGTCAGTTACCTTGTGCTATATAGAACTCATTTCCAATATACGCTTAGAACATTCATTTATCCTCTTCCCCTGCACAACTCCGCTTTATGACTGTACAGTTAGAATTAGGATTTTTATGGGAACATTTCAAGGGAAGATGGGTTTTGGCTTAAGCTGTAATGCTGTACGAGGAGATAACCACACAGAATTACATGAACTGAGAAGCTGCCTTGACGCACTCTGTATGTGCACAGTGCTGTGACTTAAATCACTCAAAAATTGAAAACATTCACACCGTTAATTTTTAACTTGGCCTGTAATAAGCTGTGTAACACCACTGGGAAATCAAAGCAAGAAGCCATTCCACTGGCCGCGCAGCAACAGCAGGCAGCTGAGCTGGGGAAGCGGTGCCTCTCGGTGCTGCGAGAAGTGCTGTCGAGCAGTTTGTAAACTGGCTTATTGGATTTAACTTTAACTTTTTGGCTTAACCTGCCTGTTAGAGACAAGGCAAAGGGCGGATTTACTGCATCTAAGAGGTTGTTGATGAGATATTTCAACTGAAATCTAAGGCGCTCAGACATTTTGTGTCTAGATAAGTAGTTTCTTGCCCCAGAGTTTATAATACAACCTGATGATGGGGCAACCTCATCAAGCACCAAGAGCAAAACCCTTTCTGTTTCCCACCCTTTGGCTCACACTCATTCTCCCAGGCTGGTCCCTTCTGGAAAGACCAAAATCCTTCTCTGAAAGCATTTGTTTTGCACAGTTTGAGTGCCTTACACAACCCTCTGTTGGCAGTCTTAAAAAAAAACCCCACAGCTTATCTTGAATGATGATGAAAGGCCCTAATATTCTGCTTTTTAGATCAATGCCAAACCCTCTGTGGGGGGCAGAGTAGATAAGCTAGTGTCCCCGACAGCAAGCTGGAGGAGGAAGGAAATTTTGACTAAAGCTGAGATGGAAACCCCCGTGCTCTTTGGTACGTAGCGTGGCCTTAGACAAGAACGAGACGTGTGCAGCTGCTATGACTGCACAGACAAATTCATCTGCATGAGAACCAGCCTGTGTGGGGAGAGGGAGTAATGGTGTGTAGGCTCACGGCGGTACAATTACGGGGACAGGCCGCCAACTGCACAGCATAAGAGGGAGTTTAGTTTTAAAATTACGTTGCATAGAGACTTCATCATTCCCCCATTTTTCTCTGCTCATTTGTAGGCTCTTGGGAGCACAGATGTCTCTCGTATGTGTGGACAGTGCCTAGCCCAACCTAGGGGCTCAAACCTCCGATTGGGTAAGCTCCCCAGATAAGAAGTAATTATTATTTGTTCTTTGCTGACTTCACCATATACCTTTTATAACACTGTAGCTCCTCTTGCACCACAAGAAGCTGAGCTTTCAGCTGGTTACGCTCCTGCAATACATCTCGCAGCTCCTGTAATGTGAACCGAGGGCGATTTGGATCCGTGAGGTCTATTACCATTTTATCTGGTCCAAGGCTGAGCTGTAAAATAAATGGTGGCAGTCATGATCTCGTAACCTGTCAAAACCAGGGCACTCCTAGCATTAAACCTCTGAATTTTATAAATATATAGTAATTCTTAGAACCAGTATGAGTTCATCGCAATCCTGATTTTTTTTTCCAAGCAGTTAGTTGTAGTTTTTCATATTATTTTTGTACGTCTTTGGTGCCTGCGTTTTCCAGCCAAGTATAGGGCCCAACTGCGACAGGCTCTGACCACAGCTAAAATCAACCTCTCTGTCCCAAAGTTTGCGATCAAGACTGCCAAGAAGCTGCTTTAATCTGCTTTTCTGGTGATGAGAGAGCCTGAGCAATCTAATGTCACACCAAAACTCTGCGGCAGAGAGGCGAGAGCCGAATTCTCTTTTCCTAATTTAAGACCTTTGCGGTAATGGCTTTTTTTCGGTCCCAGACATCAGTTTCCCACGCGCAGAGTAACGAAGCTTTTACCGTTTGCACAGACGGCGAATTCTCTTTGCGGGGCCGGTGCTGTGACGGCC